GCTAGTCAGAGAAGGACTACGCGTAAATTGGGGACATCGTGGGGGATTGCGATACACTTTGCTTGCGACCTGAGGCACGACCTCAAACAGCAGAAGACAGTTGTGCTGGTGTGACGAATAAGCGTCGGGACGGCATGGCAGGATTTGTATTCATCGAAATCGCGACCCATGGTATGGTGCCTTCTCTTCTCTCCTGCACTCTACGGGTTCCCTCAGTCTGACTGGAGCAGAGCAAGCTAGGAAAACGTGAGATCTGGCTGTGATACCAGATCCAGATCAGTACCTAGGTAACTTCTCGAAGGACTGAGCGCGATAGATTGAGGCAATCACGATTCATTTTGACCCCCAACTTTCACCGTATCCTCGTGGTACACTTGAACAAACACATGCTTGCTGAAACACCGTAGTTCAAGACACTTCGCATACCCAGACGAACATATTCGGAAGGCGCCTCCACCTCGGCCAATCAACGGCCGAGGAAGTTGCGGGTGCTCCGCGAAATGTGTCCCAATCCCCCGCAAAGCTCCAGCTCCAGCTACCAGCTTCACTCAACACCATGACGCGCGAATCTCGGCATGGCACCCTTTGGAAGGGGCTCACGTGCCTTTTCGCCCTTCAATTGCCCCTCGTGAGCGCGCAGGTCGCCGAAATCGAGAAGGCAACCAATGCGAGCTTGCTATGGGGACCCTACCGCCCAAACCTCTACTTTGGCGTCCGGCCGCGCATTCCCAAGAGCTTGATGGGCGGTCTGATGTGGACGCGCGTTGAGGACTACCAAAGCGTGCAGCATAGTGGGTCTGCAATTCCAGGCTTGAACAAATCCCATTGCTGACAATGTAGACTTCCGACACACATGCGAGCAACACGAGCTCGATGGCTACGGCTGGGACGAATACGACGTGCGCAGCGGCGGCCGACAGACGATCCACGACCCGGCGAACAAGATCGACATCACCACGGAGTTCATCAAATTCCCTGGCGGAGAGCATGGCGGCAGTTGGGGCGCGAGGATCAAGGGCACACCACGAGAAGACGCAGGCCCGAACCTGCGCACGACAGTCGTCTGGTACAACACACTCGCTGGCTTCGGCAACTTGGGCATTGAAAGTGCTGATCCCGAAGAGCCTGGCATCGAGGGCGACGTGGTCCTGAAGGGCCAGACGAAGGAATTGGGCGAGTTCGAGCTCACGGTCACCAAGGGCACCGGCGAACATCCCATCACTGGACACCCAAGCTACGACGAGAAGCCTCTGGACCGGACTCTAGCACACAGCGGACAGGTGCCAGAAGATGCGCTGTGGCAGGTCAAGGCCATGATGTTCGCGCACATGAAGGGCCAGATCGACGTCCTGGTCCCCAAGTACGGCGAGGACAACCCCCCACCGCCTGCACAGGTCTACACCATCCAGCATCTGCCGGGCAAGGGCAACATGCACCTGGTTCAGAAGGTCTTTGAGGGTCCCTTCGAGTTCGACATCATCTTCTCATCTGCATCGGCGCCCGAGAAGATCACATCTGAGCATCTCACCGAGCAGATCGATTCGGTTACCTCTAGCTTCTCGACTCGCTTCACGGATATCTTCAAGCCCCAGACACCTTTTGTCAAGGAGCGCTATGAGGAGTTTGGCAAGTCGCTCTTCTCGAACCTTATCGGTGGCATCGGCTACTTCTTCGGTGACTCTCGCGTCGACCGATCCTACGACCCCGCCTACGAAGAGGATAGCGAAGGTTTCTGGGAGGAGGCGGCTGAGGCGCGAGCTAGGAACCCAGCTCAGCTGGAAGGACCGTCCGAGTTGTTCACTGCCATCCCGTCGCGACCTTTCTTCCCTCGTGGTTTCCTTTGGGATGAGGGCTTCCATCTGTTGCCTGTCATCGACTGGGATGCAGATCTCACACTTGACATTATTAAGAGCTGGTTCAAGCTGATGGATGACGATGGCTGGATCGGACGCGAACAGATTCTCGGCCCCGAAGCTCGCAGCAAGGTACCAGAGGAGTTCCAGATTCAATACCCTCACTACGCCAACCCGCCCACACTCTTCATGGTCATCACGTCTTTCCTCGACAAGCTCGATGCTATGAAGACTGACACTAGTAGTGAGAAGTTGCAGCAACAGAAGTCGTACTCGATGCAACTCTCGAATCGCGAAGCCGCCCTGGAATACCTCCGTTCGCTCTACCCACTCCTCAAGCGCAACTACTTCTGGTACCGCAAGACCCAGGCTGGCGACATCAAGAGCTACGACCGAGAGGCCTTCTCCACCAAAGAGGGCTACAGGTGGCGCGGACGCACGCCTTCACATATCCTCACTTCCGGTCTCGACGACTATCCTCGCGCTCAGCCACCACACCCGGGTGAGCTACACGTCGACCTGATCAGTTGGATGGGAATGATGACTCGCGCAATCAAGCGCATCGCAATCTACTTGGACGAGCAAGACGACGCCGCCGAATTCGCACGCTACGACGAAGCTATCGTTCGCAACATCGACGACCTCCACTGGTCAAAGAAGGACAAGACCTACTGCGACGCCACCATCGACGACTACGAAGAGCACTCGCTCGTCTGCCACAAGGGCTACATCTCTCTATTCCCCTTCCTGACGGGCTTGGTCGACAAGGACAGCGATAGACTAGGCGCTATACTCGACCTGATCGAGGACGAAGAAGAGCTCTGGAGCCCTTACGGCATCAGGAGTTTGAGCAAGAGCGACGAGTTCTACCACACCGCGGAAGATTACTGGCGCGGTCCTGTCTGGATGCCTATCAACTACCTTGCTGTTTCGCAATTACTCGTAAGTCTCCCGAACCTTTTCCTTCCCATGATGCTAGTATACTAATTGCGCGGTTCTAGAACGTCGCAACCACACCCGGCCCCCACCGCGCTCGCGCAACCAAGATCTACACTGAACTCCGCAGGAACCTCGTCAATACTGTGTACGAGAGCTGGAAGGAGACGGGCTTTGCTTGGGAGCAATATAATCCTGAGACTGGCAAGGGGCAGCGCACGCAGCATTTCACTGGCTGGACTAGTTTGGTCGTTAAGATTATGGCTATGCCGGATTTGAGTGGAGGGGAGGAGCAGGTGAGGGATGAGTTGTAGATGGGTGGGGGATGGGGAGATGGGGTATCAAGAGAGGTGGGACTAGGGTCATGTCGTGGGCATGGACAAATCGACCAGGTGACGCGGTCAAGACGACTGCTCACGCATCGCGCGCATGTCTACGACCCTTCAATTCTACGTCCAACTGTGGAGGCTCCATGCCTAATTCGTTGATACTGGGCAATTAACTGCTTGTACTTTGAGTGACGCCACGATCGCCATGGACGTCCAAGAACGAATGTTGACCTCGCGTACTGCGGTCGCTGTTCGATCGACCAAGGCATCTCGTTCTTCATAATGCAGCTGGCGTGCGGCGAGGTTTAAGTTAAGCCGGAAGAGCAAAAAGAAAAGTGATCTTACAGATTCTGCGCAAGGCAGGCTTTGTAGCCGGTGGCGCAATACATACATGAACGCTACCAACGCGTACAGAAGCACTCATCCTCAGAAGCCCACTAGTCGACTACGAGATAGTCTGTGGTGTATCTCGCAGGCAGATCTAGAGTGCACGTCAACGCCGTGCAGAACACATTGGAGTGGCGACGGCATGCTTTCCTGTCGTGGAGAATTGCGCTTGCTTTTTACCGGTGTATCTGCGAGAACAGCGGCCCGCAGCGACGTGCATCCGTCATGCACAGCCAGCTCTGATGTTTTGCAGGCGCTGTCGTTTGTGGTGGTGTGGATTGTCGTCCTTTGCGCGAGAGCGGGAAGGATCGCCCCACCTTTGCACTCGGCAAGACCGAACCGCAGTTCTCCGTCGGGCCAGGGAGTCCTTCCGACCACTTCATCGCTCAAGAATATAGACTGCACTTCCAGGCCGCCCCCAGGACTGAGCCCTCTTGTTGCCAGACATCAACATCAGTGCTTCAAAGAATGAGAGGTGGTCCCCGAGCTCCGATTGCATCGTGCATGACAGCTTCGTATATGCGAGCTTTCGGCATCGGCCCGTTGCGCAGTCCGCAGATTAAGCTGCAGCCACTTCATCGACCCATTGTCCTAATTTCGTAAGCCACGTCCGGGCCAAGCGGCGTCGTTAACGTCCTTAACAGCGTCGAGGGTTCTATCATGATAGGTACTGACTCATGCGAACGAACTAGCATTGGCGTTGATTGAACGGTGTGCGTCATGTCAGGCGCCTGCACAACACGTATAACTTCGGGATGATTGCGCATACGATTCTTAAGTCATCGCTGGAAACTAGTAGACCATCTTGGGAGTGCCTAGTAAGCGACTGGAGAGGACGGAAACTGTGTCGTCACTACGTACCTGCTCGAGGCTGCATGAAGTTGCGGTCAGCATCTCAAGCGACGCGAAGGTCGAGGGCAAAGACGAGACCAATCATGTTTCAACACAAGAGGCTTCAGCGCAATCCAGCATAGCATGCGATGGTGTGGTGTAGGGAAGGTCTCACGGACGGCTGCCGATGTCGCGATAGCAATATTTTCCATTGTGCGCATCAGTGCGAAGCCGACTCCAGAGTCCATTAGGGGCATAGTAGCAACACTACAGCGATGCCTACACCACCACGGCCTACTAGGTCTTGAGCTAGGACTTTCGTTGCCGGGCGCGCAGTGAAGCCGGTTGTTCGCTCCCGTCTTCGAGCAACCAGGACCGCTGCAGCAACTAATGAGCCGACATGCGAAATCGCATCAGAAGTTACCGATCGAGCTGACCGGTTTGAAAGCTTAGAAAAAGCATCGCGAGCTAGTTCTGAAACGGAAAAAGGGACTGTTAATGCGACGAGCCCTCTAGGTACCTTCGGGGTACATAAAGTACTGCAACTTCAGTACAGAGTCCTTATCCGCTCCAGGTCATTCTCGCTCAGCTCCTGAAGTGTCAAACCCAAAACGACTAAGGTCTTCTTCTCGATTTCATCACTACCCAATTCAAGCCATTCAAGATGACTTCCTCCGACGGCATCCCACCCCCAGAAGTCCGCACCCGCATCCTCAACATGTCCTCGCGACGGGCCCTCATAAGCAATGAGCGCGGTACCAACCATCTGAGCCACTACGACAGCACAGTAACCTACGACGACCACTACTGGTACATCAAGCCGGGCAAAGACGAGAACGCCGGCCTCTACCTCATCGTAAGCGCCTACACGGGCCGCGCCCTCTGGGCAAACCACCGCAACGGCGCAAACGGCGGAAACGGCGAGGTAGGCACCTGCGACCCGCCAGGTTCATACCCAGACCAATACTTCGACCTCGCACAGACCCAAGGCACGGGCGTGCGAAACAAGCAGTTCCGTCTGCACTCCCCTGCGGGAAATGGCAATGTCTTCTCGAGGACTCATAGTAAGCCTGAACTAGGTTGTTTGTCGGACTCGGACAAGATCTACGACGACCACTGGTTCACGTTCGAGATGGAGCCGTTGAAGTTCGTCAGGATCGACTATGACGAGCAGCATCCGGAGATCCTCACGTCGCCCCGCCCCAAGGAAATAGCCCAGCAAACAGCGATGAACCATTTGGATATTGAGACGACGCAGGAAGTGACGATTAGCAAGGAGACGGAAATCCAGTCGACCTTCACTTCGGAGGTTGGGCTTTCTGTCACGGCTTCGGTCGAGTTCAGTTGCGGGGTGCCGCTGATTGCGGAGGGCAAGGTGGGCCTTAGTACGACGCTAGATACGAGGATGTCGTGGGGCACTACGAATATCACGAAGCAGAAGTGGGAGGCGAAGGTGGTGCTCAAGTGCCCGCCCAAGTCGGCTACGATTTGCACGGCTTCGGTGGTGGAGACTAGGTTTCGCATGCCGTTTGTGTCATACTGGAAGACGGAGGAGGGGGGGAAGGAAGTGAAGCTCAAGGGCGTTTATGAGGGGCAGAGTTGTGCTAGTTTGAGCACTGTGTCTTCGTATGGCGACTACGTGGCCGAGAAGAAGAAGGCCGAGAACAAGTGATAGTTCATTGTATGCGAGGGGTGGTATAAGAAGGCTTCTAGGGTAGGAAATCAAGGACACTCATTTGCAACGTAGCATTATGCATCACCCTCACGTACCTTACACATGCCCATAACCTAGTCACACCTCCCTTTGTATTCCGTCTCCACACTCCAAGCCCATCTACAACTCGTCCCTAACCAGAACGGCTCGGTAAGCATAACCGCCACAGTCAGCGGGAGGTATGCATAGGGCAAGACGACTATCACGAGGCAGAAGTGGGAAGTCAAGATGCCCCTAAGATGTCCACCCAAGTCTAAGTTTAAGGCCGTTACTACGGTAGTGGAAACAAGGATGCGCATGGCTTTTGTGTCGTACTAGAAGACGAAGTCCGGTAAAGAAGTTCAATTCAACGGAACTTACGAAGGGCAGAACTGTGTTGGCTTGCATACAGAAGTTCCGCAGACGAAGTACGAAGACCCTGAGAAGGACGGAAAGCCTAAGGGGCTGTTCTGAGCCAGGGGGTCATTCTACCCCATTCGATAGCCACACTTGTACCCTTACGAAGGGTCTCACAATAGAACTTTAATAACACATTCATTTTGCGACGTGGCGCTACGTCTTGCGCAAGTGTGATATTAATTGCGAAGTCTACATTGTGCTTGTCGTTCTGTTCTATGTGAGCGTTGTTCGCTCGTCGGAAGACGCGCACGAGCGGGGTTTGTGTAATGTCGCGTCAAGTGGTCATCTATCGCCAGTGGATTGTCTTATCGTGATAGCTATTGCAGCAGCTCGAGACTTGTCGATCGATGGATACGAACGGAAGATGATACGGAGCATCGTCGGCGGGTGTTAAGTAGCACGTGGTCGTGAGGTATAGAATGTATTAGGGACGACCTGCAACTACTAATAACTCCTAGGAATTCTCCTCCAGCCTCTGTGGCCCGACCTGCAAGACTTCTCATCCAAAGGGGGGGATGGAACAAGGAGGCGCTATGCACCCCCGATCTCTCCCGCTTCCTCCGCTTCAAACCTACATGCCAGGAGTGAAGGCGTACTTCTCAAAGTCAGAGGGAACATCTGTGTTGTCGTTCCAAGCCATATCCATCAACGCGTCCGCATCCGCCTGGTCGATTCCCTTGACCTGGTAGTGCTTTCCACCGAGGTACACACCGTCGGGCTGAGTGGAACCGGTGCACTTCCAAACATCATCAGCGTCATCAGTCTGCCTCTTGGAGTTAGAGTCGCTGCCGTCCGAACCAGGCTCGGTCCAGCTGAAACCGTGGAAGTTGCCACCAGTGATGCAAGTCGAAGTCTCAGTGATGCGAAGCTTCTGGTCGATATTACCGCACTGGAGCAGGCCATCGTCGTTGGACTCGGGGCCCTCGTCCCAGGCAATGAATCGCTTCTCGCCACATTCTTGTACTGCAGATGGTGTGTTAGTACGATGTGGCTTTTGAGTGAGGTTAGAGCATGTGTAGACGTACCTTCGAGCTTGCCGGACTGGACGGTGGTTACGCCCTTGGCGATGGCATCGGCAATGTCAGTTGCGTTTGCTGTGATGGACACGGCGCAGATGTTGTGGTCGATGTCCTTGAAGAAGAAGGCGCATCCGGAGCATCCGGGCTTGGTGTAGGTGTAGATGTTGTCAGCTGCGACGAGGCTGCTGAGGGTACCGACGGCGGCGATGGTAGAGAGAGCGAAACGCATGGTGAATTGAGTTGGTTGTTTGAGTGAGTGGTTTGAGGCGTTGAGCGTTCGTTGCAGGTCTGTGGTGATGGAAGCGAAGGAACTGTAAGTTGTACCGATATCAACACGGGCGACGTGATGGCTTTTATGGTGGTCGTACCATCTTCACGATGCCATGCCAGCGGTTGATGCCGGCTACACCGTGCTGGCCGCTAGTAAGCACCGGATTACCACCTGAACTTTACCATCACACCATCCAACATCGCAGAAGGTTCTGATGAAGCGGGAGATTTGTACCGACACTTCATCCCGAGCTGTAGAGTATTGCGATCGAATGGGCGGTGCACCCACGAGCGCGGTCTTGGTGTACTGGTCTGATGACATCAGCACCGGCTTACGACCTAGACCTTGGTATTGGGATCCCAAAATCAGACATTGCGGGGCAGATCCGCAGCATCGAAATTGTGATCTTCTCGGTCATGCGATTGTTGCGCATGTTGGCCATCGCATTTGGTCGCGATGAAGTTGGGAATTGGAGGGGCGCTCCGACACCGCCTTGCGTTCGATACTTTCGTCTGCGCTGCACTAGAACTCAACGAAACCTTCGAGAAGCAGCATTCCGGTGAGCGATGCGGTGAACCGACATGCGCGATGCGATGTGTGTACACGGCGAGTACGTCTATGGTAATTGTGAGGAATTGTACCGGCATTAGCCTGAGGGACATGCTCGGCGCTCTAAATCGCGTCGCGTCGCGTCTGCCGAACAGCTCCGCGTCTTGTTGAAGGTGAGATAGACGAACGAGACGGGCTTATAACGGATGATCTTTCTGCTGCGCCTTGTTCTTGGGTCATCGCCCGATCGCGACCGTCGCAATTACCTGAAGCTCACCTTGAGGCTATTCTACAGTACATGGTGGTGCTATGCCGTATATGACATTCCGATGCTTCCGATACTTCCGCAACACCCCACGAAACCTTCACAAACCCTTCTCAGTTATCTCATTGGTACGGCACGATATGAAGACCTTCATGACTGTTCCCACAGCTCGTAATACCGCCCTTTCTTCTTGCACAACTCTTCGTGCGTTCCCCTCTCTACGACACTCCCCTCATGCAGGACCAGAATGGAGCTCGCATCTACAATTGTACTCAATCGATGCGCGATGACAATTACAATCCTTCCCTCTTTGAGCTTCTCAAGTGCTGTCTTGATATGCCTCTCTGTGACTGTGTCTACCGCGCTCGTCGCCTCATCTAGCAGAACGATCGGTGCGTCCTTGAGGAGCGCCCTCGCAATCGCAAGTCTTTGCGCCTCGCCACCCGACAGCTTGACACCGCGCTCGCCGACGTGCGTGTTGTAGGCCTTGGGATAGCGCATGATTGTGTCGTGAATTGCGGCTGCACGACACGCTTCGTAGACCTCTTCGTCGGTCGCGGTGTCGCGTGCGTATCGCACGTTCTCCATGATTGAGGTGTTGAAGAACGTGGGTGCCTGCGGAACCACGCTTACGGCGTCGCGAAGTGAACCCAATGTGACGTGTCGGATGTTCTGCTTGGCGATGGTAATGCTACCGGATGTGACGTCGTGTAGGCGTAGAAGGAGTTTTAAAATCGACGATTTGCCGGCCCCGGTTTGGCCTACGAGAGCGACGGTCTGACCCGGCGACGACGTGAACGATACGTCCCGAAGTGCGTAGCGGCTAGAGTCGTACTTGAAGGACACGTCTTCGAATCGGACTTCGCCATCTTGTACCGCGAGCGGGTAGGCTTCAGGTGCGTCGGTGACTGTTGGCTGGGTTTGCAGAAGGTGAAGAACTCGTTCCGCGTCCACAAAGTCACGCACCAGCCACCGGACATGATCGGTCAAAAATTTTAGCGGGTAGATGATGGAGTCCCAGTATGTGAGAAAGAAGACGAAGTCTCCCGGGGATGCCGTGCCCGCAGCAATGCGCTGGAGGATGAGGTAAGCCAGGGCGAAGAAGGTAGTCGGTACTAGCAGCTCAACAACAGCCTTGATCAGCGCTTCTCGTATCTCGAAACGTGTCCTTGCCCTCATGTGATCGCCTACAGCACTTGAGAGTACACTGGCCTCCCTCTTGAACTGGTTGAAGTACGCCACAGTTTGCCAACCTTGTATCGCTTGGTGCATCTTTCGTATCTGGATCCGCTCAGCCTTGGTCACTTTTCTCCGGAGCCCGGTTGTGAATCGCGACGACAAGGCTTCGGCAACCAGGAAGGCGATTGATGCGCCAAGCAGGACCATGCCCACCGCCGGAGTGAACTTCCGGTAGAAGATAGTACAAGCAACGACGACATCGATCAAGGTTGGTAAGATCTCGATGACAACCATCTCGAGGACGTTGCCTAGCGCTTCGCCTTGCTCAACGGCTTTCATGACCTCGGCTGAGTCTTGCGTAGAGTGGAAGTCGATCGACTGCGACATGACGTGGCTGAAAGCAGCGTTGGTCAACTGCTTGTACGAGAACTGCTTGATGGGTATCTTGGACAGCTCTTGAACGAAGATCAATCCCGACTCGCTGTTGAGGTGATCCAAGAGAAGGAAGATGAGGAGTTCTCGGATAGGCATTGCTCCGTGCGTGACCTTGTCAGCAATCACCCCAAGGACGTATGGGATAGCGACTTGCAGGACGCGCTCCATCGCAATCGTGACGAGGCAGATGAGTAGACATATTTGTACTTTGACGTCTCGTTTGGGTATGACGTAAGGCAGGAAGATGGTAAAGTCTTTCAGATATCCAAGCCAGCCGCCCGTTTGGCGCAACCGCTCGGCACGCGTCTCCTTCACATCTTCATCCTCGACTTCGTCGCTATCATCATCGCTGTCCACTTCGTCGATCTTCAGGCAGTCTTCCTCCAGTCGGGGAGGAAATGCTGTCTCGAGTAGTGGGTCGGTGTCCTTGGAGCCCTGGCCGGGGGACCTCCAGAATTGGAGTGGCATCGTTCGAGATTGAAAGGTCGTTGTGTGACTCAATGTCCGGATACCGACCGCCTCTTGTATACTTTACTACGAGGGCCATGACGGCGGCGAGGAATGAGTGACGATGACTCACGCCAGCCTTTCATTCATTGCTGATTGTGTCTGGATGCGACGCGCCCAGAACGGCTTCCCACCGGCCAATCCAATCATTGGTGTCGTTTGTCGGTAGAATTGTCAAGCGCTGCGTTCAAAGAAGGTGCGCCCTTTCCATCACACTACCTTTGGGGGCGCACAGCCACGCTGCCGATCCATATGGTGGCATCAAGGCACACTTGACGCGATTAGCTTGTGACTCAGGCCGTGGCGCAAGCACGGTCAGTGAAATGATGTTCTTCGAGACGCGCGCATCGACCTCAGAAGCGGACCGACTGCGAGCTGCCGGACATCGCAAAGCCCGGAGCCGCGGCGAACTGGCGTATAGAAAAGGGCGTCGCAAGTGGCTGACCCGCTCACCTGTTGTGGTTCGGTCTGCGGCGGCCGGAACCTCCGGTCCCGCGTGCAGTTGCGACCACAACGTCATCCTCCAACACGACCTCGCTTTCTTCACGCGCATCGCGCAGCGCAATCCTCACGCCTCCAACGCACACCGCAAACCCGTTATCGTAGACAGCCCCGGCTCTGAGTTCAATCAGCAGCTCGAATACAACTGCGAGCGGCGTGATAGCCAATAACGCCGGCCTCGAGGTATGCGACAACGCCCCGCGCTTCGAGCTCCACGAAGTCGATACCTAGACGCTCGCGCGCATCTATAAAATTATCAACGGCCTTGTTTTAGCCTTAGCCTAACGAAGGCCTAGTTCTTTGCGGAGCAGACACATAGAATAGAATACTGCAAGTAGGCTAGGTTAAGAATTGCGCGAAGCCTACCTAGCGCATTAGCGTTAGTCTTAGGCGCTTTAAGAGTAATATATAGTCTATTAGGTAGTGTATTAGTGTTATAGTAGGTTTCTTTTAGAGTAATAAAAGTGTAGATTAACATAGGCTATCTTTAAGAAGAAGTAGAGATAGATTAGCACTAGCTTTCTAGATATACTCTACCTCTATATTACGTTACGTTATATCTTTTATACTAGAGTTAGATCTTATTACTAAGAACTATAAGATTTACTATTACTATAGGTTTATAGATAAAACTTTACTTATAAAGCTATTTCTATATACTTATTATAAGAATATCTAGTAGAGAAAATAGATATATATAATTAGTATATTTACTATATATTACTAGTAGTATAAAGTTAGGCTAAAATAAAAATATAGCTTAAAGAGTATATAATAAATTATATTTATATAGAAATTTTAGTAATTATAAAGCTACTTACTTAGTATCTTAGTACTATTTATACTAGTAAATAAATATAGTATATCTAAGAATAGATATAGATTAGGTTATAGTTAAACTTTATCTAAGAGAACGTCTTAGAGCTACTAGGCCTAAGTAATTTTTAGTAAGAGTAATAAGTACTAATAAGAAATAGAGAGTAGCTTTAAAGTAGTAGCTCTAAGGCTTTTAAACTTTACTATCTAAGAGTCTAGATAAAATCTAAGTAGACTATTTTATGTAGAATTACTACGTAAATTTAATACTACACTTAGCTTATTAATAGCTACTTATATTATAAAGTTATAGAGTAGAGAAGTTTAGAGCTAAATTTTAAAGTTCTTTACATAATTACTACGCTTACTACTAGTATAGTCTATATATAGCTAGAATTTAGCGCTTATAGCTAAATTTTAATATCTATAGCTAAATTTTAAGCTTAAATTAAGGCTAAAATTAGGCGCCTATAGTTAGAATTAGTTACTAAATTAAGTACTTAAAATAGGCGCTTCTATAGCTAGAGATTAGTACCTTTATAGCTAAAAAAGAGCGCTTTTATAGCTAAATCTAATATTTATAGCTAAATTTTAGACTTAAATTAAAGCTAAAATTAGATACCTATAGTTAGAATTAGTTACTAAATTAAGTACTTAAAATAAGCGCCTCTATAGCTAGAGATTAGTGCCTCTATAGCTAAAAAAG